CCATCCATAATCCTCTCATCTATACATCCTCCAACCCATCCATTATCCACTCAACCATCATCCTCTCATCCATCCATCCTCCTACCCATCCATCATCCTTTCATCCATCCATCGCCCATCCACCCGCCCATCCATCCATCCATCCACCTGCCCATCCACCCGCCCATCCATCCATCCATCCCTCCATCCCTCCATCTGTATGTCCATCCATCTACATATCCATCCATCTATCCACCCCTCCCTCTATCTGTATATTCATCCATCTATACATCCATTCATCCACCTCCCCTCCATCTGTCTGTACATCCATCTATGCATCCATCTACCCTCCATCTATGTAGACATAGGTTGTATGCAGGTTACATGCATATATAATCATATACCACACACAGCATACATATACAGTTATATACTAGTTCTCTTGTACATATAGTATACATGCTTATAGAACTATAGCTTATCCACATAAGTGTCTATATCTATCCATCCACACATATATACATGAATATAAATAGATATCTAGGGGCTGAAGAAATGGTTCAGTGGTTAAGAACACTGGTTATTCTTGCAGAAAACCCAGGTTCGAATCCCAGCACCCACATGGCCGCTAACAACTATCTGTAACTCCAGTCCCAGGGGATCCGACAACCTCTTCTGATCTCTGCAGGCATTGCACAACATGGGTGCACTCACCTAAATGCAGGCAATACATGCATACACATAAAAATAAAAATAATAATTAAAAAAAACATATATACACATGGAGAGATATAGAGAAATACCTATAGAAAAGTGTCAGAATCTACTTATATAGATCCATTTGTATCTATCTATCTATCATCTATCATCTATTTATCAATCAATCATCTATCATCTATCTATTACCTATTAATCAAGCATCTATCATCTGTCTACCTATCTATCATCTATCATCTATCAATCATCTATCTATCATCTATCGTCTATCACCTCCTATCATCTGCACCTGTCTGTGTGCCATCTGCTGTAGGCTTCACAGATGTCTGTGGAAAGCATTTGAAGGTGGCACTATTTTCAGGTAGTAAAATTTTCAAGACTTCTCACCATCTTCGTGTCATCTGACAGCCTGGACACCACTAAGGGATTTTACATCTGTTAATATCAATAGAGTAACTTAACCAATGAAAGGTGTGCACATCATCCAATGCCCTCTGGGAGTCCTGCTGTTCCTGGGAGCCCTGCTGTTCCCAGGGAGCCCTGCTGCTCCAGGGGAGCCCTGCTGTTCCCAGGATCTGCTTATCCCTTTCACTAGAAGCAAAGGCTGCAGAGAGGTTTGATATGTCTCATCCTGCTCAGATGGAGGTCTGAGGGACCCAGCACCAGGACATAAGCACCCATGTGCATTGTGCAAAATTAGAATCTTACAATTAATCTTCAACTTTAAAAAAACATTAAAAATGTAGTTACTCTGATTGGGGCCCTTTTAAAAAATGTATTTATTATTGTGTGTGGGTGTGTGCCATAGTGCATGAGTGAAGGTCAGAGGACAGCTTGAGGGAACTGGGTCTCTCCCCCCATGTAGGCTCTGAGGATTGAACTCAGGTCATAAGACTTGGTGGCAAGCTCCCTTACCTGCTAAGCCATCTTGCTGACCCTGACTTGAGTCCCTTTTCACCAACAATTAAGGCAGCTGAGACCTCCCTACAGGAGGTTCAAGTCACTTCTGCCTCTCACAGTACTTCAGAATATGAGGACCCAGTGGGGTGTTGTGATACGCTGGTAAAGGGGGATTCCCCTCACTGTTCTGATTCAGCACACACATACATATTCATGCATACAAACATGCACACATACTCAAGTACACACATGCATGAACACACATATGCTCATGTGCACATACATACACACACCAGACACATTCATGTGCACACATGGTTACACACACCACATACATGCACACATGCACACACATGTATATAGACACATACAAACTACACAGTCATGCACACACTTGCATGCATACAAGTGGACATCCACACATACATACATGTATGCATGCGTGCATGAGCCACACACACTCATGCACACACATATGCACACAATCATGCATATGCACATGCTTGTAACACACCACACACACCCTCATATACACATATGCATGCACACACATACACACACCACACACACACACCATATATACACACCCATGTATACACATGCATGCACACTACACATGCATGTATATACATACACACTACACATTCATATGTGCATGCACTCACATCATATACATGTGAACACACATTCATATACCCACATACATGTACCCACATACACACAGAGACATCACAAATAGGCATACACATGCACAGCTAGACACACATTACACACACATGCACACAGGCATACATACATATACATACACACATCATACACATCCCACACACATACATGTGCACACACAAAACAAACACATAGACACACACCACACCTATTTCACACACATGTACACATGCACAAACTCACATAGACAGACACACAGGCACACATGCATGAACACACAGACACACCCAACACCACACACATGCACACATATGAACACATCACACACACATGCACACATATGAGCTGTGCACACAGACATACACACCACACAGTCATATGCATACATGAACACACAATGCACACACATGCACATGTGCACCCCCCCCATTCCACTGCAGAGCATCTGACACATGTGTGACCAACTCTGCGGCTCTTGGGTGGTTCTATTCTTCTGATTTCACTCCTGGGAGTCTGTCACTAGGCAGCCCCATCCCTCCACTCCTTGCCCTCTGCTGACACTGAGTTTTGTGCTGTGCTGACTCGGGTCTTATGGAGCAGGTCTACCAACTGTCACCCGAGTATGCCTGCAAGAGGGTTGGGCTGAAAGTCTGATTCAGGAGGTGCGAGGAGATGCCTGGGGAAGAGGTCATTTTCCAAGTTCAACTCCAGCCCCTGCTAGTCAGGCATCAGGTAGAAACCAGCAGCTTCCTCTCTTATCCCTTTCCAGGGTAGGTGACACAGCTATTGCTCATGCCTGGCTCACACTCCTGGAGGCAGGACCTGAGAGCAGTACGAGGCGACTTCAACTTGCTTTGTTGGCTAGACAGACACTGGAGAGAACTGATTCGGTGTCTGGTTCATCCAGGCTGCAAACTCTCATTTGCCACAATCCCCACAGCTCCCTAACATTCCCCACCCAAACTTCTCACTGATTTTCAGTTTTGCCAGCCTGCAGGCACCAGAGTCTAAAGTTCCACTGATCACCTTCTGAGCAGCAGGAATGAACTGTAGAGGAAAAAGGAGGCTGGCTCTGACCTTAAACAAGCACACTGCTTTTATGTAACACACATCCCTGAGAGGGACTTACAACATAATGACTTGGGGAAAAACAAACCAAATCTTACTTTTTTCGCAAAATGGGGGGTCGCTGCTCCAGCTGAGGTCCCATTGGCAGGTGAGGGTGTCGCTTCCCACAATGTCATAGCCAGGGTCACACTGGTATGTGATCCGGGCTCCCCTGACCAGCTCTGTGTGGGACGTCGTCTTCCAGCCATTCTGGACTTCTGGCAGGTCTGAGCAGGAGTCGTTCCGTGACACCTCTTTAAAACAGAGACATCTTCCTTAGGTGGGGAGTAGCCTTTCTGCTGAGGCTTCCCCTTATGAGTGTTAACAAAAAAATGTCCAGAAGGAAAAAGTCTCTGGAGATGAGCAATGTACTCCCAAATCCCCCCGAAAGGCAAGAACTCTTACAGTTAGATTTTACAGCAACCATTTTGCATGCACCTGAACTTGATGAAGACTCTGATTTGGTAAAACCAGTTTAGGACTCAGAGTCCGAGAGCCTCATAGCTGCTTCCTGGGCCTGGAGGCCTTCTCTTCTTTTGGGGTCTCAGGCTCTGCCAATTCATGAGTGAACCTCAAGACCGTGCCTGTAGCTTCCAGGACCCCTGCACTGACTCTCAACAACTAAAGTGGCACTCTGGCAGAACCCCCACCAAGGCTGAAGTTGAGTGTGGCAGGATGCCCCAGTGCTATTGCCAAGAGTCTCTTTTCTTGCTGTCTCTTGGATCCCTTGTGGACACAGCAGCAGCCGTATTGTGAGAAAGTGCAAGCAGCCTTTTGGAGGACCCATGTGGGGAGAAAATGGGGCCTTCCAACCACTGGCATCATCTTGCCTGCCACATGTGGGAGCCATGTGGAAGCAGGTCTCCAGTCCCAGGCAAGTTCTGGATATCCATAGACCTATTGGATATTGAAGCTGCAGCCTCATAACTCTCTAAGATCATCCAGCTGAGGTGCGCCTGCCCTGGAAGCCCACAGAAACAGAGATTTATATACTGTACTGCTCTCTTGGGCCATCATCTCTTACACAGGAAGCGCTAACCAATGCTCTCAGCCTCATTCTAACAAAACCTGTCAAACAGAGCATTTGTCGAAATAATCCACAATAAGATAAAAGCTTACCCATGAGAATAAAAGGAATCATTGGCAAATCCTTCAAATCAAATTTCGTATCACCAGTGAACATTCACCACAACCCTGGAAATGCCACCCAAAGGCACTGCCTCAGAGCCATCCACTGGCCGGACCCTGTCCTCCTATGACACTGTGTCATTGAGGGGACAATCCAAACCCTGCTTCCAATGTCCTTAAAGTAAAATGTACTCTGCATGGATTTGGAGCAGAGTTAATCGTGTGGGTAATTAATTTGCAGTTCTCGTGTGTTTCTGGGGAAAACAGAGCCTCCACTGTCGTAGGGAAGCCACTCTGAAGCCAGTGGCGGAATTTCCCAGGATCTCATCCCAGTTTTATTTGGAGAAAGGCATTCTCGCGGGTGTCTGCAGGAAGGAGAGGGTAGGAAAACAGCTTCTGGAACTGTCTGGCGGGGAGCAGGGGGTCTTTATTTTTAGGCCTCTGAAAAATCAGCCAGGCCCTGGATTTGGGGCACAGCTGCAGAGGCTGGAAGATGGGTGAAAAAGGAGGAACAGGGGAAGATGCCAGAACTGTAGGCCTTGGGGGCCAAATTCTTTGAGACAGAGATTTGCTTGCCTGACCCTCAGTATGAGCTGCCGTGGCCACACCTCCCAGAGGACTCTGTCCATCTGCAGCAGGAGTCACATTCAAGGTTTGCATAGCTGCCACTGCCATGTTGCAGAGCTCTGGCCCCAATCCTGGCACCATTCTCTAGCTGAGTGGCCATGGTTGAATGACCTACACTTCCTAGACTTCAGTTCTAAGACCAGCTCAGAGACCTTCATCTAGGAGTCTGTAGAATCTGCCTTTCCCCAGCACAGTAAGTGGAGGTTCTGAAATTATGTCTCCTTAACTCTGCTAAGAATGGGGAAACTGGGCTAGGAGTTGGACAACTCATTCTCTCTCTCTCTCTCTCCCCCTCTCTCCTCCTTCCCTCTCTTCCTCCTCTTTATGTTTTGTTTTCTGATGGAGGGTCTCCCTATAGCTCCAGCTGGCTTGGAACTCACTATGTAGACCAGACTGGCCTTGATCTTGCAGAGCTCTTCTTCCTTCTGCCTCCTGAGTGCTGGGATTAAAGGCATGTGCCACCATTCTGGGCTCCTCTTTTTCTTCTTTGATAGGGTTTTATGTATCCCAGGTGAGCCTTGAACTCACTATGTAGCCAAGGATGACCGTGAACTTCTGAGCCTTCTGCCTCCACTTCCTGAGTGCTGGGATTACAGGTATGCCCTGCCATGCCATTCACATGCTGCGGATGAAACCCAGGGCTTCATGCATGCTAGGCGAGTGCTCTATAGACTGAGTTCTAGCCCAGCCCAGTCCTCTTTCTCTAAGAAGATGTGTGAGTCAGTCATGTTCAGTACATGGCTTCAGCTTCACTGTCCTCTACTGCAGAACAAGGTCAAGAATCATGATGCTGTGGATTCCAAAGGGCAATGTAAGAGCTAAGTGGATATAATAATGACCAGAAGTAGGATTCTTCTGTTTGCTTATTCCCTCTGTGAGGACCTTAGCAGGCACTAAGTTTCTAAAATTATGAATTCAGGTCTGTGGTGGTTTGAATCAGAAATGCCCCCATAGGCTCAAGTATTTGAACACTTGGTCCCCAGTTATAGCAATGTCTGGGGAGGTCATGGACTCCTTAGGAGGTGTGACCTTGCTGGAGGAAGTCACTGGGATGGGCTTTGAGGGTTCATAGCAAATGGGGTAGAAATATAAAATTGTACCATTTGGAGAGAGAGAGAGAGAGAGTGCTAGGAAATAGTGTTGCAGTCAGGGCATGTACTGCAAAAGAGGCTGTAATTGTTTAGGAGTCTAGCACCATTCAGGAAAGGCCTCTCTGCACTGGAACAATGGGAAGGGTGTCCTCAGGGCAAGGTACTTCCCTCCCAGCTGAGCTACCAACTTGGGAAAGGACAGGGCCTAACTCTGCTTCCTGTTTGTGGTTGAAGATGTGCACTCTCAGTTTCTGCTCCTGTTACCATGCCCACCTGCTGCCGTGCCTCCCCACCATGATGGACTCTCCCTCTGGAACTAAAAGCCAAAATACAGTCTTTCTTTCATGAGTTGCTTCTGGTCATGATGTTTTATCACAGTGACAGAAAAGTAACTGATACAGACAGAAGTTGGTACCAGAGAGTGGGGCTGTTGCTGGGAAGAACCTGAACATGCTGTTTTTTGAAGGAATGTGGAAGACTTTGGAAGTTTTGACTAGAAAAGTGGTTGAATGCTATATGCAGAGCTTAGTGGGTTATTCTAGTGGGACCCTAGAGGATGATAGTGCTGAGAGCAACATGGACTATAGAGCCCAGGCTCATGAGGTTCCAGAGGGGAGCAAGGTCTCTATTAGCAAGGGGGGCTGGAGGCCATTTATGTGACATTCTTGCAGAGAATCTGGCTATTTTTGCTTATATTCTGAGAACTTGCCTGACGTCAAATAAAAAAAACAATGGACTAATTTCTTTGGCAGAGGAAACTGCAAAAAAAAAAGTAGCATTGAATCAGTGGACTGGTTATTATTGATACATTTTATGCAAGCCCATAATGAAAAAGAGCAAATGGGGTAGAAATAAATATAAAATTGTAGTGTTTTGAGAGAAAGAGAGTGTTAGGGAAATAGTGTTGCAGTCAAAGCATGCAAAAGAGGCTGTAATTGTTTATGTGTGCAGTAAGAAGAGGCCTCTTGCTCTGCACCGGAACAATGGGAAGGGCATCCTCAGGGCAAGGTCCCTCCCAGCTGAGCTTCCAACTTGGGAAAGGAGAAGGCCTAAGGAGGTTTCTGCTTCTAGAAAACTACAAGAGACAGAAGCTGCTGCTGTGATTCAAGGAGGAGAGCTTCATCCCAAGCTGTCAGCTGAATTTGGCAAGGTCATTCACGTGGTATTGGCTTTGGAGGCGTGAGAGATGCAAGAGTGAGAGGGTCATGGATCCTTCTGCAGTTTCAGAGCACTGCTGAGGCCAGGCAATGTATACAAGTGCTAGAGTCTGCCCTGAGAGGGCAGGAAGCTATGAGAGGCTATTGTGAATGTGAAGCCAGTGGTGACCCCAAGATACTGGAGACAAGGGAGCCATGAAATATCTTCCAGAGAGAGCTGCATACAGGGAGTGGAACCAGCCCAAAGGAGAGATGTTTCAAGCAGCAAAGCCAGAGGGGCAGAGTTTTTTACATAAACTCTTTTGAACAAAAGTCCCAGACATCAGACATGGAGTTACAGAATGCCCTGCTGGGTTTTGGTCTTATTTTGGTCCTGTGTTTCCTCAGTATGTACCCTAATTCTTCCCTTTTGGAATGAGCATGTATATTCTGTGCCATTATATGTTGGACGTATCTAACTTGTTTTTTATTTTACAGATGTACAGAGGATTGCCTTGAGTTTCAGAAGAGACTTTGGATTTTTAAAGCAGTGTTGAGGTTGGTAAAAACTGTGGGGACTTTTAAAGGTGGACTAAATGGATTTTGCTTTTTATGATATGGCAGTGAGTCTATGGGGTCCAGGAAGTGGGATGTGGTGGTTTGAATGAGAATGTCCCCCACAGGCTCAAGTATTTGAACAATTGGTCCCCAGTTGGTGGTGCTGTTTGAGGGGGCTGTGGAATCCTTAGGAGGTGTGGCCTTGCTGGAGGAAGCAGGGTGAGAATTCAGTCTTGCCTGGCTGCTAGTTCACTCTGCTTCGTGATTGTGGTTGAAGATATGAGCTCTCAGTTTCCTTCTCCTGTGGCCATGCCTGCCTGCTGCTGTGCCTCCCTGCCATGATGGACTCTCCCTCTGGAACTGTCAGCCAAAATAAATTTCTTCCATAACTTGCTTCTGGTCTTAGTGCTTTATTACAGCAACAGAAAAATAACTGATACAAGGTGTGTGGTCAAGGAGCGCTGGGTCCAACTTCTGACAAAAGAAAGGCCCAAATGCATCAAACACCTTATACCATGTGCCACGTTCTTGTTCATAGTACAGAGCACTAATCAATCACTGGCTTTAGATCAATTAGAACACTCCTGTCTTCAGTATAGCACTGCAGTGGCCACTGTCCCTGAGTTGGAGTTTATTTATTATCCCTGGCTATGAGGAATGAACACACAGCATGCATGAAAGGACTTGACAATCTAACTGTTGCTGGAAGCTCAGCTCATGTCAGTGAGTAAGGTCATAGGACATTTCTTCAAGATGTTGCCAAACAGAACACTGGCTGGGATTCTCCTTGATCAGCCTTGAGTGGAGCCACATTTTTGCTGTTTAGCTGATGGTGCTCTGGAAGCTTGACTCGGGCACCAGGGTCTAGAGGAGCTGAAGTATGGTTTCATCTTTCAGCTGGGAGGAAGGGGAAGGCTCAGGAGACAGACTGACACCACACCACCAGAACCTGTCCCTTCAAAGGCTGCTGGTCAGAAAGGCATCTGTCTGGACAGCACTCAGAACCATCCCCGAGTGGGGAATCCAGGAAAAGCAGCAGCAATACTCTGCCGCTATCTAGCCACACAATGAGGGTTAAAACGCCCCTAAGAAACAGCAAGGATCTATACATGAGTTTGCCTTGGGAGAGCTAGACACAGAGCAGGAAGCAGTGAACACTGCTCACCAGTTGCAAAGATAAAAAGCAACATCCTTGTCTGACCATGCACTAGGCTTCTGGGGATCCAGTGGTCAGGGTATGGCTTGTCATTCTAAATATCAGGAGGGGTACAGAAAAGTCTAAATAGCTAGAGGTGAACAGTCAGAGATCTTTGTGGTAGTAGTTGGGGGCTTGGCAGGATGAACCCTCTACCTCCCTGTTGCATCCTGGGAGTTAAGACGCACCTTAGTGTACAGCTTCCCCCATCATCCCGGACATCAGGAGAAGTCAGGTGTTAATTGATTCCTCGTATTTTCAGATTCCCTGCCAAGAGCATCATGGGTGGAGGAATGAACAGACATGGGATGAAGCCTCCTGGCTGGGACCGTCGGCTCTGCTCTTGCTTCACAGTCCCCAGCCCGAGTGATCGGGGCTGTTTCTACTCCAACGTGACAGGTTTAGACCAGAAGCTTTGCTAGCTGTCCAAATTTCTTCTGGGTGTTGGGGAATCCTGCTGTGAGGGTCGCAGTCTTCCATGTCCGGATAGCTCTAAGGAGCTCGGTGCCTGATGGAAAGACTCCTTTTTTTGGCCTCTGGCTCTGAAACTGCCAGGTTTTCCTGTGTGATAATCAGGCAATGTCTGGCAGCCTGGCAGAAGCCCACCACCACATGTAAGTGGGGCATCCTGAAAGCACCTATCCACTAAGGCTTTTGCCACTGCCCCCACAGTATAAATGTCCTGGTTTCCCCTAATTAATCGGAGCTGAATCACTAAGACCTGGAGCCGAGCTGAGTCACTGAATAAAGGAGCGGTACTGAGCTGAGTTCTGTGTCTTACTGCGAACGATCCAGTCTTCCCGGAGAGAGCTGTCTCTTCGTAAACCACGACTCATGGAGACCCTGCTTTCGCCGTCACCGCACTTCCCACGAGATCTGGCGGCCGGCGGATCTCGTACCTCGAGGGAGTGCTCGGTGGAAATTGGGACGGAACTTGCCCGGGCGGGCGGCTGACAGCGGCCCTCCAGAGCCGCCAGCCCCGGTAGCAGAGAGCCTCAGCAACGCGGCCCGCGGGAGACCGGCGCCACGCCCAGCAGCTGGCGCCCCGAGATCCCCAGACCCCATACTGGGCTAGGGTCAGTAGGAAGCTATTGGTGTCCCACTTTCCTGACTGCTGTGGATAATGGGGATTTGGGCTTGGGTGGGAGGGCATCTGGAAAGACAGAGTTGTGATTGAATCTGAGACTTATTGCACAAGCAGATTTGAGAGGAGGCATGGATGGATGAAGGCAGGGCAGGAGGAGGCAGCCTGAGAAACTAGGAGAGTTGTCCTATTTCCTGAAACGGGACATTCTCGATGCTGGTGTTTTGATGGTGATGTTGATGGAGGTGGTAAACGGTGATGATGGTTTGGGTGATGTGATGGTGGTGATAAGTGATATTGGTGCTTATGGTGTTGATGTTGGTGGTGATGACTTGTGTTGTCATGTTGATAGGATTGTGATAGTGATGGTGGTCATAATGGTGATGGTGTTTTTGGTGGTAGCAGCTATATTGGTGATGTTCTTGGTGTTTTGGTGGTGGTGGTGGTGATGATAGTAATGATGGTGGTCGTGGTGGTATTGGTAATGATGGTAGTGTTTTGATGGTGGTGGTAGTGGTGATGGTCATAGTCATTGGGTGGAGTATGAAATCATTCTGATTGACCATATTAAATCTGAGATTCCTAAGAGGCATGCTGCTCTGAGTAGTTAACACGGAGTTGGTTAGATAATATGGATAAAAGTCAGAGGTCAATGGAACACAGGCTCATGGAAGGGAGTACACAGACATGGGGAAAAGGGGGAGGCCAAGCTGGAGTGTGGGACCCTGCACAGTTAGAGGCTGGCCAGCAGTGGGTGACAGAACCACTGTCGAACAAGGGGGTCGCAGCAGGGAAGGGTGTGGGTGGAAGAGAGTGCAAGGGCTTGAGGGTGAGGTGTGAGCCTGGCTTGAACTTGACTGCATGTTACTCTTTTGCTTTGTTTATTGTCACCAGAGCAGGAGAGGCCGAGAACAAGGAGGATGGACGTCCTTCACAAGTCCAGACTAAGGATGTGAAGCTGTCACTGTTCAACATGACCCAGCTGAAGAGGTGTCCTTAGGGAGAGCTGAGCTTCAGATCAGGAGACGAGGTGTGGGTGATAGTTGAGGAGTTGTGAACAGAGGGGAGAAGGGGTATTTGCTGTGACTTCACAGCTGACATCCAATGAAGCATGAGTCATAAAGTCATGAGGCCTTACCTACTAAATTCTTGTCAACTTTCTCAGGGTTCTTACTTTACACATGACCCAAAGGATACTCAGAGAGGTTCAGAGATTTGCAAAAGATCACACAGGCCTTGATAATAGCACGAGGGTATAAACCCTGGTCCTCACAACTAGAGAGTGCATGCTTTTACAAACCACATGTATCAGCCATGCCAATGTATTAATAGACCCACAAACACAGATATCCACCAGGCACTACATCTTAACCAGAACAAAAACTGATAGACTGAGACACCTACCTATGTAGTTCATGATAAACCCCTGGCCCTTGCCGAAGATGAGGCCAGCAGGGTCTGAGTGGAACTGGATGGTGAGGTCTGGTGTGGAGGAATATAGCTTCTGAGGACTGCTGTTGCCAAAGTACTGGCCCAGGACATGAGGTGTGACCTCGTCACCATCGTAGACAGTCAGGATGTCACTGTGGCTCAGGTTCAGGCTTGATGGGCAGAGAGAAGAGGAAAGTCACCGGAGGCCCCTTCCCGACTGCAGAAAACTGTTTTCAGGGAAAATATAACTTTTTACTCTTTTCATTTGTTTTAAGAGACAGAGTCTCCCTGTAGCCTCAGCTAGCCTGGAATTCACTGTGTAGAACAGAACAGGCTGGCCTCAGTCTCACAGAGATCCACCCGCCTCTGCCTCCCAAGTGATGAGATTAAAGGTGTGTACCACCACATAGCTACATATAATTTCTTAACAGATGGGATGTGTTAGCCCAGGCTAGGAAGTAGGGGTGGGGTGGCGCAGATTGAAAATGGGACCAGGACATGCCACTGCCTTCCACAAACACAAGTGGATTGTGAATGGATGAGATTTGGAAGACACCTTCATGAAACGACTGCCTGTCTTGGTATCACTGCAAAGCCAATCATGTACTTCAATAGGACGGCCTCACATTGCATTAACCACACTGTTTCTTGGGTCCAGTGGATTGCTGGACACAGCTATATGCTGGGCATGGGGCTATGTGCTGGGTCTTTTGCTGTTCTTTGATGCAGAAGATGCTGAGCAAAGTTGGTGAGCTCATCTGGATGTTAGTGTTGTGCTGCAAATTCACTCTAACCACTGCCTGCCTGTTCACAGAAGAAAAAATGAGCAGTTCACAATCACCAGAGCTCAAGATGTACGCAGCCTCAGACAGGACCTTGTGTGTGAATTGTGCTCAAGCTGTTACCGCCCTTAGAGCTAAGGGGTGACACAAAGCTGAGCACAGGACATGACTTGTCACTGGCATGGAGGACCTTGGCAGATGGTGAATGAGCCAGAAGCAGGGCAAAGGCCACAGACACCATGCTGACACCCAGCATGGACAGTGTCCCAGGTCCCTTCTACCCTACTGCTTCACCTCCCTTACTCTGTCCTCTGCTCCCTCCCACTCACATTTCCTAAGCACCAACTCTGTGCCAAGCCGGCTGCACACAGCGGGGTCACAGAGCCGTGCTGAAGGGAGTCTCAAAAGCTGGGAGGAGGCCAAAGGCTCCAGCAAGTGTTGGTGCACAGGGAAGGGCATCAAATCTAGATGGCCGACCACAGAGGCCTCCGTGGAGGAGGTGAGGCAGGCTCCCAGGCCTCCAAAAGTGACATGGCTCTCCCTGCTTCCTGGACACCAATGTAGGACCGTGCTGCTCCATGGGCCTCCAGGTCATGAGGGACTGAAACTCTTAGGGGACAAGTGACTCCTTCCTGCCCAGAAGCTCCCTGTCGGCTGGCCTTCACTGCAAGGGGTGCTGAAAGGGTGTCCACAGAACCCTGCACCTATTCATTGTCTGTCTGCTTCTGCATCCTTCTTTAAAGCAGAAACTCCACAAAACAGGGTGGTCTGGCTTTATGCTCACTTCTGTTTCGGTACCAAGAATGTGGTAGCTACACTAAGTCTAATTCTTTTTAAAAAAATTTATTTTCAATTTTATATGTATGAGTGTTATGCCTGCATGTATGTAAGTGCACCTGTGTTGTGCAGTGCCCAAAGAGGACAGAAGAGGATGTCAGATCTCCTGGAACTGGAGTTACAGATGGTTGTTAACTATCATGTGGGTGCTGGGATTTGAACCCAGGTCTTCTGCAAGAACAGTCGGTGCTCTTAACTGCTGAGCCATCTCTCCAGCCCTCTATTCATACATGTGTGTTTTGCCTGTATTTAAGTATATCTGTGTCATGCAATGCCCGTGGAGGCCAGAAGAGGGCATTAAACTTCAGCACCACAGTGAACTGAGCATGCATGGAGGATGTGTAGATGACAGCGAGAACTGACTCAGATGCTCCTCAACCTTCACACAAGACCCGGACTGGAAGTGGATGGTGAGTCTGACTGCAGGTCCCTAGACTCTGCAACCCCTCCTGTGCTGGGACCAAGTTGCACACCTGTGCATCACATGGACAAAGGTGGTCTTCCAGGATGCTGCCATTCCCAACAGCAACCAACAATCAGCAGATAGAAGAGACCCAGGGCTCTGCAGTCTGCAGGAGTTGACACCTTTCATCCAGGCCCTGCCTTTTCTCTTCCAGCTCAGCCGGCCCTTTAGGTCCAGCAGTGTCTCCTCCAGGCTCCCCTCTCGCCTCTGCCAGCCCTTGTGGGATATCCTTTACCCTAGCCTTCTCTTCTCTAGTCCTGGCATATAGCACCTCCAGTTCCCATGGTCTCTCCCCGAGATGGGCCATTTCTCTAATAGTCCAGGCCATCTTCCTCAAGGCCCTGACTTCTCAACTCTAGGCTCTCCCCCACTCCTGAGGCTCTCATCCTGTTCTCCAGCCCTGTCCACAGTCCCATCAGAATGTCTAAGGGCCAGAGAGACTCCCAAGGCATTCCACATTCTGAGCCACCATTGTTCAGAGAATCCATTTGATTCAAAGCCCTGGGCAAAGGCAGACAAGCATACAGAGCTGGGGAGGGGTTGGGACCATGATCAAGTGTGGTTACAGAGAAAGCCAGAGGAAGAGTCTGGGACTATTGATGGTCAGGAAAAAGTGCTGAGCAGGATGCAGGAAGGGAAGGGACAATGAAGTCCCAAGGACAGGGTTACCCAACCTGGAACACTAAGGGTAAGAGAGTCACCATTTCCGCCTTAGAGAGGAGGGTAGAATGTCTGTGCCTCCTGCATGCCAGGATTCTTCCCCTTGTTTGACACCACATCACCAAGAGTATAGATAGATATCGCCTGGCCAGGAAAAGGGCCATGTGTGACTTCTGGGTGAGGTGGCCAGGGGTGGTTTTCCAGGATCAGAAGAAGAGGCAGGAACTGTTCCCAAGTGGACAGAGGTTAAAGGACTGGCTGGCCCCTAATTACATTGTGTGCTCCTCAGGGGTCAGATCGACCATCACTGAACTGGAGAGCTGCCCCAGTGAACCCCAGGGGTCCCATGGCAGGTTTGCAGCAGATCCCCCACCCACCCCTGGGGAGTCTCCCTACGTGACCATGCTCAATAGCTATCTGAAGACAGAGTCACTGACACAGCTAGAGAAGAGGGTGAAGAGGAGGACCTTGACTGTGGTGAGTCAGCTGGAACAGGAGATGGAAGCAGTTAGGAGCAGGCGGGATGTACTGCTACAGGATGTCAGGGAGCTGCAGGAGGAAAAGTCAATCCAGAATGCGGATACTCAGTCCTTGCTGGAGTTTTTGAGGCAGAAGAAGCAGCAGAGCCAGCAGAAGTATGACTCCCTGTGGAGAGAGCACTTCAAGGGGTGCCAGGAAGTGGAGGACAGGAGGCAGGAGCTAGTCTCCACCTATGCCTCACGAACAGCGGACCTCCAGAAGAAGCTGAGCCAGGGCAGGAAGGTCCAGCTTGGCCTGAGGAAGCAGCTGCGCACCCTGAAGCCCATTGCAGGGATCAGGGAGAGCCAGGAAAGGAAGCTGCGGGCCTTGGAGCAGGAGCAGGCCAGCATCCCAGCGGACACCCGGTTCATGGACCGTGAGGCTCACATCCAGTTCCTGCAGGAAAGGGCTGCCCTGGAGAAGCAGGTGCAGGAGCTGAACCTGCTGGAGTCGGGAGAGAACATCACCAGGGAGCTGAAGAAGAAGGCCAAGGCCTTGGCGGCCACAGCCAAGCAGGCTCACACCGAGTTCTGCCGGGGAGTCAACACTGAGAACCGGCAGCTGTGGGAGGGGCTGAGGCAGCTGGATCAAGAGTACTGCAAGCTGGAGGCCAGAAGGAAGAAGCTGGAGAAGAGGAAGCAGCAGTGGAAAGAGCAGCAGTGGTACGTGGAGGCCCTGATCCGGGGCAGGCAGCGTCTACAGGAGCAGCAGCAGGACCGCAGGCTCAGGCAAGGCTGCCCCAAACCACAGGCCGCTCCACACCCACACAGGGCTGTCCCCTAGGCACCAGGCCAAAGGCCAGCCCAAAGTAATCGCTGCCACAGGCGAGGAATCAGCACTGGAGCCGGAGCTCCGGGGCAGTGTACAGAGGAGGAAGATGCTGCTGTAACAATGAGGGGAGAAGGGTAGAACTGTTGGGGGTGGAGGACTGAGCTCCCCAGAGGAGCAGCACCGGGCCGTGGGTTCCATTCTGGACTGGGATTTGCACACTGGGAATCACTGGTGTTCTGTGTCTCCGGCATGGCCGCCATGCAGCAGCCCCAAATAACTGAAAACTCCAATAATTGAAAACTATGGGAAACCTTCAAAGTATTTGGAAAACTTTTTTAGGCTCTCCTCCCCTCATTCCCAGACCGTGCTGGACACCCCAGGTAACATGTTCCCCAAGCAGACTTGAGCTGTGCTCATTCATGTTCCAGTGTGGACTCTGCTGTGCCCAGAGTGTGTTTGCAATTAGCCCAGTCCCAACAGTCATGCCCATTGCACAGCACTAGGATCCTGTCTTAGGCTGCTGTGGGCTGGTTTTTGAAGAACTGCATTTTGACTTGCAGATCTGTGTGTTATGATGTGAACACGGCCCTTTTCTGGGGCTGTGCTCCTGTGTGCTATATAGTTGACTCACCCAGTTCTGGGCATTGTTGTAGGCAAAAGTCTTCAAAGTCATAGTCTAGAATTTTGTTTTACTTCTCTATAAAAGGAATTCATTTAAAGTTGTATTGAAAATGAATTGCTGAATCTACATTTGGCTTACAGATTGAACTTGTGAAATAGTTTATTCTTAAACAAGTTGTTATTGAAAAATAAAAGCCTGCCTGTGATTATTCAAATGTGAGAGTAAGGCTGCCAAGATCAGAATCAGTGGGTGAGGGGAGGGCGTGACGTGAGGCAGAGGGAGCAAGGGGCACACGCAGTTTCTGAAGGTCCTGCCTCACTACTCTGTGTGTCTCTGGTGTGGCTATATAGTCAAGGAGACTGGAGGCCATGACAGTGAAAGGCTTAAGAGCCAGCTTTCAGTGTCATCTGTCCATCTTGCTGGAGATGGGGCCTGTTGCAGGGTTAAGGGGAGTGGCACAGTGGCACCTCCCTGCCAGAGAACGGGAGGTCCAGCAGGTAGCCCCCAGTCAAGCCC